GCGTGTTGTGTAAGTTCCATAAACATCTCACCTATGGCTGTTGAAGAGCTAATAGCCTCCCAGGTATTTCTCCCAGCCTGTTCAAAAGGAAGGTCACATCATTTCCATGGAAACACTGACGTCCAAGACAGATGTTTTTCATGAGTCCTTTTCAAGACAAGACGAAAATATACTCTTTTCTACTTTTCAGCTTACCTACCTATACAGATCAAGCGTCTTTGTTGATTGAAAAACAGGCAACAGAATATAGTTCTAAGGCTCAGTTTCTGTTTTTCGAGACAAGATGAAAATACAGTCTTTTCTACTTTTCAACTTACCTGCCTACACAGATCAAACGTCTGTATAGTAAGATGATTGAAAAACAGGCAACAGAATATAGTTCTAAGGCCATTGACCCTCAGTTTCTGTTTTAATACTGAGAAAAGGTTTTAGCACTAAAAATACCTATTTGCTCTGATATGTTTTAATATAAGACATAGAAACATGATTGTTAGAGGTATAAATTCAGGGCTCGAAATACTGAGTGTTTGTGCACCTTAGTCCACCCAAAATTGGAGATGTGCGCCCAATTTTTTTCTGTGAGTGCACTCAAATATTTTTGGAGGTTAACGCATGTTAAAATCGCACACCGACTAATTTTATATGGTGCACCCAAACATTTTTTTGTGAACCCAATTTTCAGGTTGGGTTCACCAGTGCACCTATTCCCAAAAATTGATTTTGAGCCCTGTGAAATACAATAATTTATATTATATATATTCATTAAAAAGGGATGAACTGAGGCTTTGGATGTGATTTAATTTGACTCATCGAAAATATCTTAGTTTTTACTGCATGATTGAGGTGTCAGCATCTCACAAACTGTAGTATCAATGATGTCCCTAAAGTGGTCCACTGACCTGTAGGTAATAGTGTTGTCAAAGATACATGTAGTACACAAGAGCCCCCTAGCAGCTATTGGAAAACTGCACAATAGTTTCCTGTGATATGCAGTTTCTACCTATCATGAATTTTCTATTATGAGATGTCTACAACAAAACAACTCCGAAGATGAGGCTGCACTGTTTTCAAGTTGTTGTTTAATCAAAAGTACTTTTCAGTGGACCAGTCGGCACAAACTTACCCAGCAATGGCACAAAAGTGGCTCTTTCGATATATTAATCATACTTTTTAATCCAGTGGAAACAACAAACTAAGGCTGTTGAATTAAATATGATATACATATAATAGTCTAGTTGTGAAGGCTTGCATTAATGCTAAGCAAATGTACATGCATAATGTACAATTGGACACAGAAATAAATTCATGAGGTAATTATAATAAGCACTTAGTCTGAAGTGCAAAGTGTTATTCACCTTTTTCAAAACTCCCACAATCCTTTGCCACAGGGTGTTAAAAGGTTTGTAGCGAAGGATTATGGGAAGTATTAAAAAGGTGAATTTAAGGTTTGTCAATTTTAACTATCAAATGAAATGTTTTATAACGATCTCCTTCAAAACTATCTGTTCTAGAAATGCGCTGTACTGCCTGGAATTTGGCATACTTCAATGGAAAACATTATAAATCTCTTATGCCCATGTCACAAAGCCATATTGTATGCATTTCATGTTGTGTATCTCAAAGTCTGGATAGAAATTACATTTTCTATAGTGAGTTGACTTGATTTGAAGGTACATTTGATTTATCTTATTTTTTGGAAGATTGAGACTAAATGGAAAATACTATGTTTCAAAATCCTATTCAAGAATTGGCATGTGTCGATTTAGATGTTTCTTTTCAAGAAAATGGTAGCAAAGATATGATTATTTACAAAACATGACAAACTTGCTAGCTCTACACGTGGGCGTTCTCTCTCATTATAAAGCAACTAAACATTCTCACAAAATATTCATTTTGCATAGGGAAGGCTTTATCAAAGTTTATGGTTTTGTTACAATTTCACACATTGAAAATACATTTCATCCTTGATTTTTTCTTTAGATAAAATATTCTATCATTAATTTCATTCATATTGTTGTTTACAATGTAAGTAAACTTTTACAATTCTTGAGTTCTTGAAAATCTCATCATTAACATTGAAGCAAAATAATGTAGCTGTACATGTACATATACATGTATATACTATGTAGATACTTTTACCTTGTATCAAAGGTATAGGCTCCTTAAATTGATGGAAACACATTTATAAAGGGAATTGACCAATCACTGACACTATCATATTTTGGCAAAATCCATCATTGTGTGCTTGATTCTGATTGGTCAGTTCGTTAACAAACCCAGCACCACTGGCACAAGTACACATGTTAAATACATGTACAAAAGTGAAACATTATGTACCTAATAATAAGAACTGTTACAGGAAAAAGTGCAGCACAGATCAAGCAAAGCTCAAGAATTCTGACAATCTTCAGGGCTGGATTGTCAAGAACTGGTTTACAAAGTCTTGTCTGAGGGGTAGCCAAAAACATAAAAATCAGGTCTCAAAATACTATTTCTCTACATGCAGATTTTACCTGCACCACTCAGAATTTAGGAAGTATGGATCACAATAAAAACTGTTCAGAAACCATTGCCATTATTTCTTTCATGCTTCAGTCAAAATGTAGTTGGTACCAGTCAATACTAAATTTAAGTTCACATGCGCATAATATTATATGCATGAAATTACATGCATAAACTCAGTACATCTAGCAGTTTAGGTTAGGTGCAGGTAGACATCAGAAAATACCTGCACAGCTCCAATTTTACCTGCACTAACCTGCACATGCAGGTGGTATTTTGAGCCCTGCATACATATAGGGCTGAATACCAGTATGTACTTTCATATTCATGTTCATTCATTTCTTCCAACCTGAAAACAACGAGTACTCTTTACTCCAGTACAACCAGAAGCACAACTAAACAAACACAAAAGCAAGGAGAATGTCTAAAGCACAGGACGGCTGGCAGCAAATATTGCAAATACAGGAGAAAATTGCATTTCAAGATAGAAATCCCTTTGCGATTTGAAGGCAAAATCAACTACATAGTTACTCTAAAACAAAAATACCTAAAACATAAGATACTGGCACTTAAGATATGTTGATATGAAACAAGATGTCAGCATTTCTGTTGTTATAGTATCCAGAACAAGCCCTGGTGGGCTTAACAGACTTTTTTCTGTCAAATTAAGGCCACACCAATTTAATTTGTTGGTTCTCGGATTCGCCTCTTCGTTTTTTTCTGATTTGCAAAAAAAAAAAAAATTTGATTCTGGTCCTTAATCAACTGAAAAATGCTCATATTTTGCCCCCAACAGTTGAGGAAAGTCCTTTTCTTCCTAGATGTTACAGTTTTCCCATCTATCATTGCAGTAGTTTGATTAAAAGTTCAAAATTCAATGTTTAAATTTTAACCCAGCCTTTTGTGTTGACTTCATGGCTCATTTTGTTGCATTTAAGCCTATAATAGGATGCCTAGACCTGTTTTTATTTTATTTTTTTTCGCCCTGTCGCTTCATATTTTTTCTGAAAAAATCCGAGAACCAACAAATTAAATTGGTGTGGCCTAAGGCATTTTTGAACATTCCATTCAACATATTTTCACAAAAATTCTGCATGTTTTTAAAACTTAGATAATACAACTCATTCCAGTATTGTATACCTTGTTTACCAGACATATGTATCAACAACATTATAATTTGAAAAATGTCTAAAGAGGTACTTAGCTTTGTTTGAAAATTGTAGAGTACTTATGGTGTATTGTTCTGCATTCCCACATAGTATCTTTCTTAGAGAAAAAGCGTTTGTTCGAAAGTCTCTTCTGACGCCACAACTTTTAAGGAGATTGTCAACCTTTACAGCAACAATGTGCAAATTTATACCATTTCATGTACCTTCCAAAAATAATTTCATCGGGTTGGTAGAACGTAGGATATTGTAGTTTTCTTTTACACAACCAGTAATGTCTCTCACCTTGCTTATGTTTCTTTGTCTATTGGACATTTTCCTAAGAGCTCAGAGCAAATGACCCGCTGCAAAAGTGCCACCTACATCGGCTACACATAGCATCAAGAAGCAGAACTCCTGTCAGAAGCTCTGAGGAACATGTTTGTTCGGCATTGAATCGTAAGCATGGTGAGAGAAATGACTAGTTGTGTGAGAGAAAACGCCACTATCCTATGTTCTACTAACCTGATGATATTATTTTCAGAAGGTACTGGTTGTGTAAAAGAAAATTCCAATATCTTTTCATAAACAATTTCAAAATCACATGTAGTCCGTCTTCTGTACTTCTGTACAGTCCTAATGCACTTCGTGGATCCCGAACACCTCGCGTAGAAGTGGCGGTATGGGCCGGCTGGGGTTCTTCCCCACGTCAAACCGTTTCAGCATGTCTATGTGCTCGGTGGCGAGCTGACGGAGGTCCGCCAGTTTGACGAGAAGTCGCGCCAGGTGGCGGGGGCTGGACGGGTGGTTCCGCTTCAGCTGGAACTCCAGACCCTCCGTCATTCTCTCCTGAATCTCCTCGATCTGCTGCCGGTTCACCAGATTGGTCCGATCTGTAACAAACGTGCACTCTCATTGGACAAGCAAAGTCTAGAAGACTGCATTTTATTGCTGGAACATGTACTGTATATGTCAACGTACTGTCACACATTTATACCTTGTTTTGGCCCTTTTGTTCTACTTTCCCTGGTACTAAAAACACCACCCCTTTGGTTGATGCTGAAAACACCATCCCTTTCCTTGGTTCTTAAAACACTAACCCTGTCCCTGAAAACACCATCCCTGTCCCTGGTGCTGAATATACTATCCCTGGCCTTGGTACTGAAAATACTGTCCCTGTCCCTGGTGCTGAGAATACTATCCCTGGCCTTGGTACTGAAAATACTATCCCTTTCCTTGGTACTAAAAATACTATCCCTGTCCCTGGTACTGAAAACACTATCCCTGTCCATGGTACTGAAAATACTACCCCTGTCCCTGGTGCTG